ATATATATATATATATACAATGTATGGATGATATTAAACAAAAAGAAAAATCTTTCTCATAGTTGGAAAATAATACTTACTTTTTCAATGAGAATTTCACCGACCACGCAATAAACGCACATGTGAACGAACGTATTAATGAGTACTGACACGAGCCAACATATTCGTACAAAAGAGACGTTGCCACCATCATCAATCATCTATGTATGTTAACATAATGTTTGCACGCGTAATTATATTTGCTTTTTTATATGTGTAATTACATATTTTGTTTTGTAATTTTTTGACACAATTAGAATTATAAAATGTATAAGCTGGTAAAAACTAGCATTTTCCAGAATAAAATATATCAAGGAAGTAGAAAGTGAACAAAAATTTTGTAGCTTGATGATAAATATTTATTACACATACCGTGCGAAATATTGTGCGGTAATAGATATTTAAATTTTTGATTTGATTTGATTTATCAAGATAATAAGTCTCCTTTCTCTCTCTTGTAAACTTACGCTAATGATCAGAAAGCCTTGAAGACAAAACAATATACCAAAATACACTAACAATGCCAGGAGCATTAAATTGAACGTTTTGTCAATGATATCGACAGACCTATGGAGTATAGCATTCCGTAAAGTGGCAGCCGCTTAATTCTAGTCATACAATAGATTTCATATATCTTTTGTGCCTCTGACCAAATCAGGATGTATCCTAGTGCGGATGTACATTATCAAGGCTTTAATTTCATTGTAAATTTTTTTTTCAGTTATATGCGCTTTTAATAGGGTATTGTTTATCCGAAAGAATTACCATAGTTTTCGTCTTGTTATATAATAATCAGAAAAGAGACGTTCTTTAAGTCGAGAGATTAAATAACAATCCGATTTGCGTCGATGACAATAGTAAATAAGGGAATACAATTTACAACCTGATAAGACGTATGTGATTCCGGACATTCATTGACAATCCAACGTTGAAATCCTTGAATCCATTTATATTGAGCAATTGGTCTCTAAGGATCTCCATTTGGGCGCAGATATGAAAGACGAGCAGTGCCAGAAAATTATCGATACCCGTGTAAGTGAACGCGGCCAGTATGATGGTCATGGCTTGAGCGACAAATGTGATCTCAAAATACGGGCTCACCGTCATGTCACGCAAATAATACGTTTGCAATAACAATGGTTTCCCCGGGTCCGTTATGTTTGTCAGGTATCTCATGTAGTACCCGAAGCACGGCGGGATGACGAGAATAAATATCGCGAAGACCATCATGATGCAGCCAAATATGATAAGCGTTCTTGCAATTCTCGCCTTTCTTATCATGATGTCGCGTTCTTCCTCAGTCTTCGTTTTAATCCAATCGGCCACCAACATGTTTACGATTGATTCGAGATCTTGAAAAGGGTCAGAATGCAGAGCTCGCGCGAGTTAGATCGTTATTGTTACGAGTCGGCGAATTAATGAGGATATAAATCATTTTATAGGACAAATGATGAGGAAATCGAAATTTCTTTTATCTGCACATGATTCAGCTGTATTGATCGCATATTTTCATTAAAATTTGTTGCGAAATTATTCCGGGAAATAAAGTAATGAATTATTAATGTAATGAATTATGAATTTTAAAGTAAAAACGGAAATAAAAAAAAAATATTTAAATTTCTTTGAGAAGAGGGGAAGTTTGAACATATTAGTTATTCCATTATTCGCAATAAGCATTAATCTCTACCTTTTTTACGAAGCCACATGATGATGATTTTTGTGGCACAGACTGAAAAGGGTAGCGTGATTTGCAAATTATCTATTATTGCCACCATATCGCCCCAAACTCTTATCAATGAGAATATCGAAGGTATTATATGCACGAGAATCAACGTAATAAAAATGATGAAAGCGCGCAGATTTGCCAAGAACTTCTGTCGACGGCTTAATTTTTCGTCAGGCCACAAACCAATTATCTCCAAAGTAAAACGATTTATTCCAATGGCCCATTCTAAATCTATATAATTACCGTAAAAATTATACCTATATCTCTAAGAAATAATTACATAAATGTAACTCTCTTATTTCAAATTGTGATAATAAGTTTCTTCTTCTACGTAAAATAACGAAGCGTAATACAATTAGACTCGCAAATATGCATAAATCGATCTTATCTGTTCACTGTTACGAAATATTTTGTCACTTGCACTTTGATTCGCATCAGAACGCGTATAATTTTTCGAGTATCTATAGCTAATAATTAATAAAAGAAAAAATATTTTTTTAAAAAAATATATCCTTCTCTCTTTTATATAATTTATAGTACGCATCACAAATTTATGACATATTTGCGAGGCGAAATATAATATTATTTATTAATATCGATAGAAACAATTCACACCTGCATATCCGTAATATTTAGAATTGTCCATGTCCAATAGTATATGAAGACTGTCATATTATTTCTCTTTTTCATCTAATGCCCTTACTATTCAAAATAGATAGTAATTGCATGCTCACGCGATAAAACTTTTGTAAGTAATAAGCTAAGATACAAAATATATGAGATCTCGTAAATATTTGAGAAATATATTACAATACGTTTAGTCTATTCTTTTTATATTCTAGCCACGAATCTAACTATTAGAAGTCTTCGATCAAAGTAAATGAATTTATACAGTCCATTTTTCTTTCTTTTTCTAACTGCGAGTTTATAAATTTCTAAATGAGCCAAATGTTCCCTCGTGTTTTGCCATTTATTACTAATTAATGTTGTCTTCGGCTTTTTTTCCAAGTCCATCTTTTTTTCAGTCTTGAATTTTACGAAACTTGATCATTAAGGTAACAATATAATAGTGCAAAAAATGAACGTCTATACCGCATCACGACAAAGTTTTACGAACGGTGCATTGGTAATAATGCGTTATTATAGCAACGTGAAAAGAACAACGAATAATAAAACGAGATATTGCATAGGTATTGCAAAAATTGAATGAAACACAGATACTTTGGTTCTAATGTTCATGGATAACATTTTGAAATGTGCAATTGACGTATTAGTGATAGTGAAATTAAATCGACGTATCATTTAATGTCAAATGAGTATTTAATTTTTGAAAGGAGGAAGGGCAATGAGAAAATAATTGGAAGGAATATAATTAAAACAAATTGATCTAAATACACATAAAATAGACTAATAGATAAACATTTTTAAAGATATATACGAGAAAATTATATGAAACATTGAGATGAGTTCGATCTCTAAAGCGCGTAAAAACATTAAACATAACATCAATAAGCAGCTTTTTTAGTAAAATAAGAGTATGCAAATAACGTATTATCGAAAATTAATACATGTATTTTTTATATAGCAATATTTTTATACTTGATATTGTTTCAGATTGTTCCATGCAGTTTTCGGTATTAGATAAATTGGAATCAACGTTTTCTTCAAACGGAGTGTATATGGTATAAATATATCTAAAAGAATTTATATATATATACACAGGGTGTCTTAGACCACCCGTACACCCCTTTTCCTTCAAAAACTAAGCATTTTAGAAAAAAACGTTTTGAACAAAAATTATATGGTTTTGAGGGGGCCATAAGATGATATCATTGGTTTGACAAATATTTAGTTTTCCATAATCTTACCGTAATACTTTTATGTACAGAATAATGAGACAAATCAATCAATGTAAGAAAAAAACAAATAATTGTTAAAAAAAATACATTGTAAATAATTACATACTTTTTCTTAAACACAATTATTTTTTTTATACTAATTGATGTGTGTAATTGCTGCGTCCTGAGAGGTGAGGGAGAAATGCTAAATTCATAAAAAAATGTTGTTCTACGTTTAGCCTCGGACATGGATGATTCTAAGACATTGGCATACACAAGTCTTTATATTTTCATTGTTATCAGTAAGATCTGTAAATTTTATATTGTAAACGTAAAGATACATTTTATGCAAACCGTTTGAGATTCGAGATTCAAGTGGGAATCTATATAATATTTTTATACGTCCTTATTATAAATAGTTGATATAATTTCATAATGAACTGTACTATACATGCGGATGATTCAAGATGTGTTGTTTTCTCAGCAACATCAACATCAATAGAATGAACAAAAGATTTCGTTTAAAGAAGCGATGAAAACACTTACACGCTAATTACCTCGTTACGTCTTATTATATCGTTTGTATGGAAAAGTTTATTGTGAAATTTCACGAATTCTTCCGTCTTAAATTATCATCAATTATTCGGGCAATTAAACATTCCAAAAAGAAAAAAATTGTTGCAAATAATATGCGATTTTATGAAAAAATAAGATATAATTCACGTAGATTTAGATTGGGCGATTGGAATAAATCGGATTTCTCTGAAGATTCTTGGTCTATGGCCGGACGATAAGTTGAATCATCGACAAAAATTTTTGGCAAATCTACGCGCTTTCATTATTTTTATCACAATGTTTACCACATCGGTTATACCCAGTATGTTAGCATTGTTGAAGGTCTGGGGTGACATGCTGGCGATGGCAGATAATATGCAGATCACTCTAGCATATTCGGTAATTGGCCTGAAATTTGTTATTATGTGGTTCCGCAAAAAACGTAAGTCGACATGAATATTATCGTGAATATTATTTTATCGGTACTTTTACTTTATCTATGTCTCAAGAGTGTATATTGCAATTTTATCCGTAAATTTTGAAATTTCTTCTTCAAAGATCTTGTACTTATTATAAACATGATCGTAGACGATTGGATCAAGACGAAGACTGTACAAAAACGAGATACCATGATAAAGCAAGCAAAAATTGCCAAAGTTTTTGTAATGTTCGGAGGTATCATGATGAGTTCTGCATCCTTCGCCCTCATCATTCCTCCTTGCTTTGGATACTCAATACGATATCTGACGAATCTCACAGATGGTGCAAAACCGTTGCTATTGCCAACATATTACTTGCGAGACATGACGGAGAGTCCATATTACGAAATCGCGTTCGTCGCTCAAGCCATATCGATCATAATGGCCGCGATTTCTTACACGGGCATCGATAATTTCTTGGGTCTGCTTGTATTTCATATCGGCGCTCAACTGGATATTCTCAAAGTGCGATTGCTCAATTTGAACAATTTCAAAAACTTCAGCACCGGGTTATCCTACAATATTGAGGATCACCTACGTCTCATTAGGTTGTTTTAAATTCTCTCGGTTTAAAAACTCTGTAATTTATATATACATTTATGTGTGTAAAGGTCTAAACATCATGCTGAAGTATCTCTGATATATATGATATTCATATGATTTTAAAAAATTCGAACGTATTTATTCAGGATACTCGAATGATATTTTATTATCACATTACTTATATAATCAGCCATAAATGTATAAACTTGTAATAAACAAATTATATATTATGCGCATTTTTGCATTAAACGATACAGAGGATATATATCGTTATTTGCCAAACGCCAACATAAATATATTACACTTTCTATCGCATTTTCATGTAATATTCACACATGATAATTTAACATTTTGAAAAAAAAATTGTGATGTCAGGAGACATATTATTTCTTTCATTTCACTAATAAAACTATTCGATGTAGTATATAATATCTTATATCGTAGGTCCGTTGATGTCATCGACAATACATTCAACTTGATGCTCCTGGCATTATTAGTGTATTTTGCTATGTTATTTTGCGTTCAAGGATTTCTGTTAGTTACCGTAAGTTGCCGAAAGAGAGGAAAGCTATCTTTTTGAACATTGTAATCTCAGGTAGTATAAAATATCCATCGCCACAATTTTTTGTTCCAATGAAAATGAAAATGACATAAAAAGACTATCTTGGTCGTGACACTCAATTCTCCGCGTAAATAATCCATACACTTCTAAAAAAAAAAATAAATTAGATTATTAAAATAAATTTGACAAACAAAAACGCGTCGAGAAATAGCGCAGAAAATCACAGGTGCATATTAATACGATCTATAGATCATTGACGGAGTTAGCGGCGATGTTTCCTTTATGCGAATATGTTGGCTCATTTCGGCTCTCATTAATACATTCGTTCACATGTGCCTATACTGCGTGGTCGGAGAGATTCTTATAGCCAAAGTAAGTACATATTGTTAGTACAATTAATTAATGAACATCGATATAATAGTGATATAACAGAATTACATATTGTTTTTTCAGTTGTTGCAACTGAGAGGTGAGGGAGAAATGCTAAATTCATAAAAAAATGTTGTTCTACGTTTAGCCTCGGACATGGATGATTCTAAGACATTGGCATACACGGGCATCGATAATTTCTTGGGTCTGCTTGTATTTCATATCGGCGCTCAACTGGATATTCTCAAAGTGCGATTGCTCAATTTGAACAATTTCAAAAACTTCAGCACCGGGTTATCCTACAATATTGAGGATCACCTACGTCTCATTAGGTTGTTTTAAATTCTCTCGGTTTAAAAACTCTGTAATTTATATATACATTTATGTGTGTAAAGATCTAAACATCATGCTGAAGTATCTCTGATATATATAATATTTATATGATTTTAAAAAATTTGAACGTATTTATTCAAGATACTCAAATGATATTTTATTATCACATTACTTATATAATCAGCCATAAATGCATAAACTTGTAATAAACAATTATATATTATGCGCATTTTTGCATTAAACGATACAGAGGATATATATCGTTATTTTCCAAACACCAACATAAATATATTACACTTTCTATCGCATTTTCATATAATATTCACACATGATAATTTAACATTTTGAAAAAAAAATTGTGATGTCAGGAGACATATTATTTCTTTCATTTCACTAATAAAACTATTCGATGTAGTATATAATATCTTATATCGTAGGTCCGTTGATGTCATCGACAATACATTCAACTTGATGCTCCTGGCATTATTAGTGTATTTTGCTATGTTATTTTGCGTTCAAGGATTTCTGTTAGTTACCGTAAGTTGCCGAAAGAGAGGAAAGCTATCTTTTTGAACATTGTAATCTCAGGTAGTATAAAATATCCATCGCCACAATTTTTTGTTCCAATGGAAATGAAAATGACATAAAAAGACTATCTTGGTCGTGACAATCAATTCTCCGCGTAAATAACCCATACACTTCTTAAAAAAAAAAAAAAAAATTAGATTATTAAAATAAATTTGACAAACAAAAACGCGTCGAGAAATAGCGCAGAAAATCACAGGTGCATATTAATACGATCTATAGATCATTGACGGAGTTAGCGGCGATGTTTCCTTTATGCGAATATGTTGGCTCATTTCGGCTCTCATTAATACATTCGTTCACATGTGCCTATACTGCGTGTTCGGGGAGATTCTTATAGCCAAAGTAAGTACATATTGTTAGTACAATTAATTAATGAACATCGATATAATAGTGATATAACAGAATTACATATTGTTTTTTCAGTTGTTGCAAGAAAATTTTAAAAGATTTCGTAATGTGATAACGTTTACAGGCCGAAGGAGTGTATTATGTGGCGTACAACTATACATGGTACTTACTAAAACCAAATGAAGCTAGAAACCTGTTGCTGATAATGATTCGTTCTGGAAGACCTCTTCTCATCACTGCGGGCAAAATATTTCCCATGACATTGTCCATGTTTTGTAATGTAAGACATCCGTCAATTATTTAAATGCCCGTATAAACGCAGCTCTTATTCAATGGGAATCATTCTTTTTATTTTCTCTTTTTCTTGATTTATAATTATTTATCATTGTTATCACTCTACGTATATATTCATATATATGTAATGTTTTCAGTTAATCAAGACATCAGCTGGTTATATATCCGTACTGCTCGCTAATCGATGATACTTGGACATTGACTTGAACAATTTCCGATAGAATCTCTTTCGATAAAGCAATAAGAATACACCGTCAAACATCGTTTAATTAATGCGTCAAACTGATTAATTTGTGTCTTCACGTGAAAAAATGATATCGTTAATTCCAACAAAATAAATATTCTCATAATGTATAATCAGTTGTAATAAATAATTATACTCGCATTAAGAATATTTAAAATTTTATCAAAACTGCTTCATATATCATCCAAGCCACTTGATTTAAAATTTCGATAAATTATAGAGAGACTTACGTTTAAAATGTTTTAAATTAATAATATTATATATGTATATATGTATGACATCTTTTTTCTAAACGAGAAGATGATATTGCAAGCGCTGCTTTTATAATTTTTGAAAGGGAGCTTTTATAAATTTTTTCTATGGAGTAGCAAAAGCAAAAGAACAATCTAAAAATCTAAATGAAATGAAAAAGAGAATCATTATTGAGAGTGGTGTGCAAGTAGCAAGCTTTGTTACAAAGTTTATTATATATGTGAGTCGTTGTAAAATAGAGAAAGAATTATTTGCGTTTTTAATTTAATTTAATTTAATTTAATTAGCATAAAATTATAATATATAATAGAATATTAAATATTTTGAGGCGATAAGAGCTGGCTGACAAGCGATCTTGGTGATAGTTTGTACAGTAGATATATATAGCGTGCTGTTATTAATATTGTTCTATCACAAAAATTATTGATATAAATAATTTATTACTAAATTTTAATTTGTCTGGTTGTTGTACTACAATTTTTGGGCGCTGTGTAATATACTTTATCGCGAATGCAAATGGCGCGCGCGGATAAGTGCCTGTGAGAATTGCTGCGTAACCGATAAGGCCAGGTATCAGCTGACGCTGACAATTCGCGGCGAGACGGTAGGGGCCACGTAAGACGGAGCCTTATTACACATAATTTGAAAAAGCGCGTATACAATAAGTGATATACGATATACACGATAGATGAACGCGCGATTCGGTAACGCGTAGTCTTATCGGGATATCAGATCATCGGATCTGAAAGCACCAGCTGAAAGAAAACGCTGTCGTTTCCGTTGTCACGTGGAATTAAACGCTGGCATCCGAACACTCATATCAGTTAGATGACGGCGCGGCGCCGTGGGTTGACAGGTCATGGGGGCCTGTCTCGGCCACTGCTTAGCGAGAATCACAGACTCCGTATCGTACAGGTTAGAATTGGATCAGAAACATGATTATCAGAATGTGTGCTGATAGAAAAAAATTTTGTTCAATATACCGAGAAAAGATATTTATATTTTCATTTTTAAATATGCTCTCTGTTAAATAAAAGACGCATCTTAATGACTCGATACTATAGTTGCATGACTTCATAGTTGGATTGGTACACAACTCCCAATAAACTTATGTATTGTGAATGAATGAAAAGTTATGGGAGATATATATTTCGAGTCTTTTAATCTAGTAGTTAAATCTTCTTCATCACTGATTTGTCGCAGATATTATTAAGGAGTACATCTATCAAATCAATGTATTTTGTTCATTTATCGTTTTCTTGTGCTTTATTATATGTTGCAGATTCTATCGAAGGCATACCAGAATGCCTTGTCAAGAAGAAGAACAAGCTGAGGTATATATTAAGATTTCCTTTTACAAACTATGCTTTTATTAGCATGAATAATTTTGATATTATCATTTATGCTTAGTTCATGGATGCTGAAGAACATGAAGACCAAACTAAAAGATCAAAAAGGTATAAAAATCGATTATCAACTTCTAATTTTAATTAAAAATTGATGATATTAATATTACATTTATTTGTCATGCTTACTGGATATAGTCTGTTATCATTTCTCTCTTTAAAAAGATTCAAGGTAAAGGCATATATTTTATATTCTACTTAGTATATAAAAATAAAAATATTACAGAATATATGAGGGCTATTTCAGTTACATAAACTGGCAATATTGCACAATAAATATGACAAGAATCAGCAAATCAATACCGTTTTATAAATACTTTTAGAATTCTGTACTTTCTTTTAGAATCCACGAAATAATTTTGGAGAAATATATTTATTACTTTTACTTTGCAATAAATATTTTAATTTATGCAGTACAGTATTTGAATTATAGAAAAAGCATGGGGTTCCAGTGACTTTAGAATTATTGGAAGATGGAGGATGGTCACGAAGTGGTAATAAGTATGCCAGATTGAGTTCTAGAAATGATGTTTCTACAAGGTAGATTATATTATTCCTTAATTCTAATAACGTGCGCACGCGTTTATAAAATTAAGTTTTATTATATCTAAAGAATTATATAATTATGTTTAGCTCTGGATTGGATACATCACTTCAAGTTCTCGATGCAAGAACATTAATAAAACAACAGACTTATGTTTCTTCTACTCCAGGATCATCGCTTGATCTTGAGTGGGAACATGAAGGTAACCATATCATATCATTACATCTCTCATTTTTCTAATTAGGTTCTCACAATACATAAACAAACTGTACTTCTGCAGGAAT